GGTAGCACCTGTTATGGTCCCAACTATGGGCAAATAGTTAACACCTAAACTTGAGTCAAAATAATATGAAAGTGTAAAAATAGGTTTTAATACCAGAAATTTTTCAAGAAAAACTATTACCAGCAATACGTTTTTGAATAAAAAAAAATATTACCAGGTATATATTTTTTAAGAAAAATATTACCAGAAATAAATTTTTGACAAAACAAAATATTACCAGGAAAAAAAATCAGCATTAAATGACCCATGGAGGTTGATATGCCGTAAAACAAACCAAACCAAACCAAATATCCTTCCCAAATATGTCAAGGTTACCTACCAATCCAACAGCTTTAGAAACCCAAAATGACGTCCAGATTGATAGGAGTATACTAGATAAATGCAACACAGCCGAATATACAGCATATTGTGAGGGTTTTTGATAAAAGCAATGCATGACTTTACAGGCTTGAGTCCAGTTAGAAATAACTTCCGGTTGAGTAAGCTAGACTCTCCAGACGATCTCCTATTGACGGTGTTCTCATGTATCGAGATGTGACTGTCAAGTCACTTTCGAAGTCTTATTTTTCAAACTTTAAAAAAATCTCGACATCGCATAATGTTGACTGGCTATTCCCGCCCATGAACAGATATGCACAATGCGTCAGTCCCTATGGAACATGGCCAACTAAAGCAAATCTAACGAACGGATATTTACTGTAGCCCATTTTCATTCATCAAGACGCTTCCTGGACCAATTATGAAGTGACTGGCCAGTGACTCTTACGGTGGTTGTGAACACTGAAACAATTTCTGGTTCCACAGATACTGCTGCAACAACTGAGTCCCCTGGAATTTTGTGGTGTGCATTTTGAATAAGTCGTCTGCATGACCAACTGAATTTCTTGATTCTTGGTTCTTGATTATAAAATCGTAATCCAAGTGCATGGTGGTCTATGGTTGTAAACAATTGACAGTATAAACAGGAATACTTTTCTAGAATCCAAAAATGCTATCCTGGGATTTATGTTCTGCGACCAGGGTGAAAAGATGTCCATAAAGAAAATTGCCAAGGCTTCCTTTTCAGTTTGAACATAGTCTCGTTCAGCGGATGTCAATGACCTTGATGCATTCGATGTCGAACCATCATGGTGTCTTTTTTTAAGGTTCATAAACTTCGGGCATTCATTCGGAACAGCTTTACTGAGAAGTCTTTATTCTGTTCCAGTCTATATTATAGTCGTGTAATGATTGAAGGCCAGTAAGAAAAAGATGAGACATTGATTTTCAGTAAATGACTGAAGATGAATTTTCTCATATTTGCGATTAACGTATCCTGTGAAAATTCCATAATCTTTTGTATTATTTTTCGGCAATTTTAAACATTTGTAATGGACGTGAAAGAGTAAATGTTGATCTCCAAAACTTTCCATGTGTTGGCCAATATTTTCTGTAAGAATTAAATTCGAAGGCTGTTTTGTTAAAATAAAATTAGTGAAACGATCAGGTTCTTTTCTCCCCGCAGCTTACGAAACAAAAGTTTTAAACTCCAGGAGTCGTCGTTGTATGAAAATATCGCAATCGACACTAACCCTCCATCGTTTAAACTACGAAGTAAATATAATGTTGTTTGCTGAATTGTACATGGAATCGGGAATATTGTTTCTCAATAAGTCTATGGAATTGTTTGGAGTCGAATTACCATGTGGCGAGACAAACAGAATTTGTTGTAGACGGCCACAGGCGGTTTTCGATCAGAAAATGAGAAAATTCACTAATAATATTTTGCGAGACGATTTTCTTCTTCTTCTCCGTTGTCCATTTAGATAAATATAAAGGTTAAAATCACTCCCTCCCATTCTTTCACCCTGTGTGTGTGTGTGTGTGTGTGTGTGTGTGTGATTCTATGAACATATACCAGTCGTACATCGCTAAACCTTTATCTTCTAGCCTCACTCCTTGCAAATTTCCCTCCGCCCCGCCGACCATATCTTTACTCACTTCCGATTAACCTTGACTTCTTCTTGTCTGAATAATTTCCTGCCTTTGGAAAATGTCGGCCACATTTTCCATTCCTCATCTTAAAGTACGGAATAAATACTACTGCCTGTTTTTTTTTTGTTTTGTTTTTTTTCTGTTTTTTTTTTTTTTTTTAAATTCGAATTTCGAATTAGTACGACGAACTTGTAACGGGGTTAATTTCTATTTATGAGTCAAGCAATTGGCAACACATTGACGCTATCTTTCAAATGACCTAGAAATATAGATTTATTTTAAGAATGCTTACAAATCAATCGTGGGCCAGTTGAATTTGAATAAATTTGAAAAAGAAATGTGTTTTCTTTCTCTTTTTTGCTGTTTATTTAAAGCGAGCTTACACTTTTAACGAATAAACTTCACTAGAATTTGATTTTGTGCAAATAAAAGAAAACGATAATGATTTACAATAAAAAGATATCTTTTACTTAGGTACCTTCATGAAATCTCTAAAAAAAACGGTCTTAAACTTGATGAAAAGAATTTGTTATTGTCTAAATGTTTATGTTATTATTAAGAGGAAAGACAAAAGTATTTTTTGAAAATTTCTAGTCTTTCTTAGCACGTCCCAAATTTTATTTAAAAATATTGTTTTTTGAGTAAACGAAATTACTAAAAATCGATGTTTCAGCCATTTTTTACGATTTTGTAAGCAGAAGTCAAATTCTCTGTTCAAAAAATCTTGCAAAAATTAGTTATAACATTTTTTTCAAAATTTATTTGAAGAAAATTAGAAAATTTAACGTTTATTTAATATATTTTGAAAGAAACATTATTTACTTTCTTAACAACAAAATATAGTTTAAAGTAAGGGAAAATCTGTCAGTGATTACTGGCAAGTGATGAGTGATGGTTTCATCACGTATTGACATCTAACGTGAGAGACACGTTATCTTACGTGGGGACAGAAGTGACAATCTTGTTCTAGTTCTAAGGGAAGCAACTTATTTACCTCGTAATTTTTAAAGTAAGAAAAACTTTTAGAAGTCTAATATTTTTTTTTATTTTCACGTGTAAGGCCTTTTTTTTTATCATGCTATGCTCTTTTTTTAGCGATTTCATGAAGCTACCTACTTTTACTTGATAATGATTCTGAAAGTAAAACAATATGAAAAAATCCTTATTAAGCAGAATAAAAGAACAGGATTCATGAGATACAAAATGACGATTGACATTGCATTTAGATCAAAGTTGAAAGATCAGTCCATTCTAAAGATACAATTCCGATATTTTGTTTCAGGTGCGTATAGATGATTTCTTATATCTGACAATTCGATAAAACAACTTATCAGAACACACAAACACATATACACACACAATTCGGCGATACCCAATATTTCAAAAATAATTTTGAATTCATTTTGAGTGTATAAACCTGGCGATTTTGTAAATACGGATGTCCAAATGAGATATTATCAGAAAATAAGAGCGTTAAGTATAATGCAATTAAAATTTATTGGTAATTTTCCAACATTTCTTCAACAAACGTTAGATTATAAAGCCAAAATACCGAAAATTCAATAAAATGTTAGATTGCTTACAATATTTTCATAGATTTTTAAGATAACTCGTTAGTCGAAAAAGAAAATTATATACAAAGGCGTTAACGTTATTTTCGTCTAGTAATTGTTACAGTTATATCTCCTTTTAGAAAAAATTCGCAAACATCAGTCTTGCGAGAAAGTTGTCAAGACCTCATAAAAAAAAACACCTCTAATGATTTTCTGCGATATTTTAAACTAAAAGTAAATAATATTTGTTTTAATTCAGCTTTGTTATACTTTAATCTTCCTCAAATAAAGTTTAAGAAAAGTGTTTTTTTTAAAGATATTTTATTATACAGAATTATGATCTGCCTATATTTCTGAGATGAGGTATTATGTACACTATTTACATTGTTCAAACTATCGTCTTCATCTTTGTTGCCATATTTATCATAACGTTTCGGCCTTCTTCAGGTGGTTTTAATGTTGAACTGAACCCTTAGTTTGCTGTAGACTGTTCTAGTTCCACGTGACATGTCTAATGGATGTCAGTTACCTTCTGTTAATTCTCCTCTCCAAGTTCTCCACCGCCTTAACCAGGTATTGAACTCTTTGGTTCCTTTCACTGGATCAAACTAACGCCTTTATCTATTGTGCCATGTGTCCTTGAGAACATCTGTGTATGAATTTCTTGGACTTATAAACCTAATGTCTTCAGCAACCATTTTTACCAGTGCTCATATTTTTTGCTGTTATTATTGCATTTTTTGAAGGCCAGAGCGTACAACGGCCGAAACGTTGTAATAAATATGGCAACAAAGATGAGGACGATAGTCCGAATAATGTAAATAGTGAGAAATATGATATATAGCCGATTTTAGTGGTTTCAAAAATACAAATAATAATAATTTCAATCAATTTAAATTCGGTTTAAAAAAAAAAAAAACATGTTTTGCCTACTGGATGCATTCGATTTAATTTATAAGCTTGAAAGTAAAACTAAAATACAAACTTCAAGAAAGATTTGTCATTTTTGAAAATGCATTTTATACCTTAGGTAACGATTTTCTTTGGATATATATATATATATATATATATATATATATATATATATATATATATATATATATATATCTATATATATATATAAAAAGTGAACATAGAAATCAACACTTAGAGGCGACAGTCTGTTTCATGCTAGACGCAATCGTCAGGCCAAGAATATATATATATATATATATATATATATATATATATATATATATATAGGGAAAGAGAAATCGATGGAAAAGGACATTGAGATGAAAGGTTGGTAAGGAGTTCTCCTCACAATCCACTTCCCAATAAATGATGAAATATCTTAACCTTATCATTTTTTTAAATTTTGTCGTATCGAGAAATTTGTGTCGTTGTTGTTTTTTACTATCACAAAAAAAGCTGACTCCCATGCTGGCTCACAGATAATCGAATACGACCCAATAGATTGATCGCCTGGTATCTATGAGTCTACGGCAAGTGTCCACTTTTCGTAACCACCACTACCACCAGCCGCTACCTGTTGAGTCTGGCCAACGCCACCGTCGGCGACGTTTCGGGCTCCAAAGTGCGGCGCACCTCATATGGCGCCATTCCAAATGTTTAATCCTCCGATGTCTGAACATTGATAACGGCCATTCAAGTATCGACCTGACATCAATATTTAGACCGATGGCAACACGAACGCCGCGTCTATATTTACGGCTTTGGGAGGTCTGGTCGGAAAAGAACTGAAAAACAGACCGATCTTCATCCGGGGGAAAGACGACAAGGATGTTCACGAAAGTCTTCTCTTCTCTTCCACCCCTCCCTCTCTCTTCACTTCACTTCTCTCTCTTCCTCTTCTCTCTCTTCCCCCTCTCTCTTCTCTTCCCTCCTCTTCTCTCTCTCTCTCTTCTGTTCTCTCTCTTTTTTCTCTGCTCTTCTTCTTCTCTCTCTTCTCTTCTATGTCTCTTCTTGTCTCTACTCTTTTATCTCTATCTTCTCTTCTCTCTCTCCTTGTCTCTGTTTCTCTCTTCTCTTCTCTTGTGATGGTAAAATTTAAAATTAATGTTTCTCCCCATTCTTCCTCTTTATTCCATGTTCCTCTCACCAGACATCTTTGTCGATTTCTCTTGAAATCCACCTTTTTTTATTTCTAGAATCTTTTATTATTTTACTTCTCTAGAATTTCACGTATGAACCATCTTCGAAAAAAAATATTTCACAAGAACAGAACCGAGATTTGTGAATGAAAATAAGATTGGCGTTAAGCGACTAAATGCTTGAGTTTTACTTAAACTCTGCCATAATGTATATTTCGATTTTAATTTCGATTTAATGTTAACAGTTTAAGTATCCAACTGTGTTTCTGAATTAATTCAAGTGAGCAAATGAATGACAAAATGTAACACTTAAACCATAAGAATGAATTCAGTTGAAATTGTTTTCAAATCTACTTTCGAAAACGATAAAGTCAGGTGTTTAATGAAAATCACGTTTCTTCTTTTGTTAATTTCAATTTTCTTGCGAAATAAAATTCTTTTTTCATCCCTCCGCATCATCAGTAAAATAAGAGAAAATTATTTCTTCATAATTGTATATTTCGTTGGATTCTCATCCAATTTTACTAACACACACACACACACACACACACACACACACACACACACACATATATATATATATATATATGAGATAAGATATTATGATTACTTGTATTATTGCATTATTTACATTATTCGGGTTGTTATCCTCATCTTCATTGCCATATACACAACGTATCGGCGGTTGTACGCTCCGGCCTTTATGTCTGTGTCTCTCCATATATCAGTCTATTATATCTTTGAGATGAGGTATTATGATTACTTGTATTATTTCCATTATTTACATTATTCGGACTGTCACTCTCACCTTCATTGCCCTATTCACAACGTTTCGACCGTTGTACCTTCTGGCCTTCTTCAAGTGCTTAGAATTTTTGAACCGCAGTGGTGAACCAAAAAGCTTGTCGAGTTGAGTCAAAGGGAAATAACTGAGACATCCGGGAGAGGCATAGAACTCGAAAAATCTAGTCCGGTGGACAAAATTAAGGGTTCGATTCGAAATGAAAATCACCTGAAGAAGGTTGGGGCGTACAACGGCCGAAACGTTGTCACTATGGCAATGAAGGTGAGGATAACAGTCTATTTTATTTGTATTTCTCTTTGTTTTGCTTATTATACAACAGAATGCTGAAAGGTATACAGCATTCAAAAAAAAAACCCTTTCAAATATAAAAATATGTTATTTGTTTATTTGGTTATATTTTGAGAAATGGGCTGGGCTGAGAATTTTTCACCATCATCTCATATTTTTACTTTTTTTTATAATGTCTCGTTATTGTTGATATATTCTCGATATTTTCATCCATCCACCAAGCCTAAAATTCGGTGATGTCCACACTAATTTTATTAGGATGTGTTTTCATTTGAGAAAAAGTCTATATGCAAAAGAAAAGTACGACAAAACTTGAGGAATCTTCATCTTACTTCATAAAAAAATAAAGTAATAAAGACGTTGGCAATTATCGCCTCATTCAGTTTCTCCCTAATATATATATATGAACTTGCACCAAAAGTACATAAAAAAAAAACTTAGGAAACACCTCAGGTTTGAAGTCTAGATACAAATAATAGAACAACCGATCGAAAATACAAACGAAAATAACAAATTATACTTGACTATTTCCGATCAGGAAAGGACATCTGGATCAGCAGAACACTCAGTAGGATAACAGTGTATTAACGACTGTTGTATAAAAACTATTGAGAATATCTATGCAATACTTCGACTAAACAAAGACATTGCAGAATGAAAAGAGAAGAGAGATTAGTAAAAAATATATGTTTAATCCTAACCGAGAATATTTGAAATGTCTAGAATTTTCTGAAGATAATACATTAATATTAATATAAGTGGACAAATTGTGTGCATGGGAAATAGCCTAAACGAGGTAAGTTTAGGTATAGATTTAAAAATTAAGAGAACTAAAACAAAAGTAACGTTCACATATCATTTTTCAAGAAAGATCATAAAACTGCAAACAGATGAAGAGCTGGAATAAGTCCAGGAATACATATAATTGGGAGAGATGACAGCATTATAGAAAGACTATAAAACGACATAAAACGAGAGTGTCAAAAGCCTTTAATAAAAGCAGAGACCTAAAGAAAATCACGTTTCATATATGCTGAAAACCTAAAGTTTATAAAGAATATATGATAGTAGCTATAATCTGTCGATGCGGAAAATAGAAACTAACAAAAATAAACTCAGAGATGCAGATATGGAAAGAGAAATGTGAGAATATAAATTTAATAGAAAGTAATTATTATGAACCAAAACAAATTCAACATATGGTATATTTAAGTGATTAAACGACCAAAACAGAAATAGATTCGACGTATAGCGAGAAGGAAAGATAACTGGTGGAGCAAGAGGTTGCTTAAACAGTGGCCATCGTATCGTAAATGCCATAGGAAACTACGAAATAGAAGAGCTGTTTATAATGAAAGGATTCTGAAAAGAAGTAGATTAGAAATGGCTTATCTATATACTAAATGCGAATGTCACTGTGTCACTATGTCACACTTTTTCAGTTAAAGAGACACAACTCTCTAACTTTCAGTAGCTCATGTTACAGAAATTTTGGATTCACGAGTTTTCATTTTTGCAATTGTTTTGAACGATTACTTTACGCGATTTTTGTGACGAAATTTTTTGTACGACAACAATTTTTATAAATTGAAAATAATTCAAATTCATTGTGAAATCCAGCAAAGTCACACATGAAATAAAAATAATTGTTTGTAAGGAAATAAGGACCTACGTGCATCAAATTGCCTTTGAATTAAGTGACAACAGAAGAATTATTGTTGAACTTTAAAAAGGTAAGCTTAAATATTAATGCAATACTTAAATGCAGCGATCAATTATCTCTAGTTCATTCTGTAGTTAATTCTTGCCTATTGCACACGGCAGCAGTATTGCAATCAAAAGAGCCGAGGCTGCAGCGAGTAAAAGAAAGTCTCGTGCAAATAAAAATCCAGATCAAATAGCAGCCAGGAGAGCTTCCAGTGATGAGAATATGCAAAGACTTAAGGACTCTTAAACTCCTGAACCAGTCGAAAGCCCAATCAAGAGCCGTCCGCAGGAATTGGCTTACATGCCGCCCGATAGGCGGCTTTTAAGTTAGTAATATATATATATATATATATATATATATATATATATATATATATATGTGTGTGTGTGTGTGTGTGTGTGTGTGTGTGTGTGTCCTTTTTTATCTCTTTTCAGAATCTGCTATTGCAGGCTCGGTTGGAACGTTTTCCTCTCTATGCAAATGTCCTCTCCGTTTTCTTAACTATTCGTCGACTTTTTTTTTCTTGCTATTTCTTCCATTTTATCTTCGTTTCTTTCTAATTTTTTCCCACTCGTTTCCTGTTTATTGCTCTCGCATGTCTTTCTGTGGACCCCGACCCAACCTAGTCACTGACCTACCTTTCCCACCAACCCTCGTTCCCACTCGCATCACACTCCCCGCCCTTGACGGCTAATGAGGGAAATGTACTCGGTGACCGAAGTGAATTAGGGGTGGCGGAAAGAGATGCGATGTTCTCTCAGATCTCTCCTCTCTACGGAGAGAAGCAGAAAAACTGCGTTCACGAAATCGATTGCGAGTTTAATGACGTTAATATGGTCGGATGCACACTCTTATATAAGTAAGTGTGCATATGAAAATAGATGGGTGTCGATATACATGTGCACACACATACACACACAGAAACACGTGTACATGAGGAAAGAGGCGGTGCTGAAAATTCTTTTGCCAAACCCACTCCCAAACAACTGACTAAAGGATCAAACATCTGACTTTTTTTTTATTGCCTTTTTCGTCGGACCGAAAACTTTTTACTACCCATTCGTATACATATTCTATTTATTTATATGAGCACTAAAACAGGGGTCAGCATCATTTTGCTATGGGCCGACTTAGGACTAAAATCATTCAGTGTGCTAACATCATACGTATTTTTATACAAGTCAAGGTCAATATACCTGTTATACAATATTTTTTTATTTAGCAATATATAGTATTATATAGTAATATAGAGTATGTATACTTTAGTATATATTAAAATTGAAACAATTAAATATCTTCTTTGCGTTCTACAAGTTATTGGTTTGGACTTTGTGATGCCATTTACGGGTGCGTGCCATTGTAAATTGCTTGGTGTGCCATATATATATATATATATATATATATATATATATATATATATATATATATATTGATGCATGTTTCATTAAATAATATAGACAAGTTTATTTATTTTAAGTAAATTCCTTTCATATTGTCTGATAAGCTTAATAACATTATCATTAAACGAAGAAAGAAAATCACAATATCGATTTTTCCTTGGCTATTTCAATTTGCCTTTTCACAAGGCTACATTTATAATTCCAAGTGTGGATAGTTTTGTGGGCTGCTGGATCATGTAATTTAAATTGTGTGTATTTTGGAAAAAGTATGTGCGTATTTGTGAGAAGGCAAATTGAAATAGCCAAGGAAAAATTGAACACCCTTAACAACAACAAACAGAATCTCTACGATAAACTAAAGGATATAACTACCCTGGACCAACTGGAGGAAATTACGCATAGGACGTCATGAACTGTGGTGCGATTTTCGCTTCCAGCGTCTTATATGCACGAGTTTGTCGTTGCTTGGAAATCTTCCATGTACACAGAAACCGTCCGTATATTGCTTAATATATTGTAATGTAATTGTCATCTTTCATAATGGCTTATGTAAGCCGAAATCTTAGATAGGATTAAAAAAATATTGTGATTTTCTTTCTTCGTCTAATGATAATGTTATTAAGCTTATCAGACGATAAGAAAAGAATTTACATAAAAATAAATAGACATCACATGTCTATATTATTTAATGAAATATGCATCAATGAAAAAATTATGCCTAAATACACACAATATCTATCTATCTCTCTCTCTCTCTCTCTCTCTCTATATATATATATATATATATATATATATATATATATATATATATATATATATATATATATTATATATTATTTCTATACGATTTGTGTGTGAGTTGTAAATTATATTTTGAAATTTTTTAGTCTTAGAAATAAAAATGGAAAAGAATCAATTACATGTAGTAATAATCCATGTTATAAAACAGGGGAAATTGGAGAGATACTTCGCACATCTCATATGATCGTTATAAGGCATTTGCAAGGCATTTATATGATCGTTGTAAGGCATTTATATTATTGTTGTAAGGCATTTGAAAAATACTTGGTTATGTGAATCCTTACAATGTTGGATTGACTCTTGATTTAAGGAATCACCGCATTTCCATCTGAAATTTTCTGCTCAAACGTTACAAGAACGACCCATTAGTGAAAATATCGATCAGCGACGATTAAAATTAGCTCGTTTATAACAATGGGGAAAGCTGAAAGCTGATCTGCACCCCAAGAAGAGGATGAGATTGGAATGACATTGTAACTTACGAATCAAAATCTGCAAACTTCAGACGTTAAATTTGGACAGAAACCGTAGCGATTAAAAACGGTAATCGATAAAAACGTCAATAATTGACCAATCAGAAGTTTGTCGTTTTCCATCAGTCCAACGCCAACCTCGCGTTTTTTGGCAAACCCTGTAGAAATTTGCACAACTCCAGGCGCCATACTCACCGGATCTTTCACCTCCGGATTACTACATTCTTTGAGCCGAGATGGAGGCGCGCTTCTGGCCAAGTGTCTGGGCTTCTCCGTCGCGCAAACTTCTCCACCAAAAATAAATTCACGAGAATGGTTTTACCAAACTCTCTTTGATTCACAGTCATCTCCTCCACAGCCACCAGTGGGGAGAAAGGGAATAGAGGGAGAGAGAGAGAGAGAAAGCGAGAGAGAGAGAGAGAGAGAGAGAGAAAAAGAGAGAGAGGATGATGATCTCGATGCGAGCGGGTGCCGACTATCATCACATATTGCAATCCTTACAAAATTCTCTTAATGTGAAGAACTTCAACTCTCTGAAAGCCTTTCAAAATCACATAGTCCAGTTTATCAACTAAAAAGATGCCAATCTCTGGGATCATGGAATCATGAAACTGTCTCAAAGATGGTGTTAGGTAATGGAACAAAATGGCGTTTGAATAAATCTATGTACAGATATGTAAATATTGTCTTTGAAATTCGCTTAAAAACGCCACGAATATTTGCTCCAGTGTATTTCTCACTATGAAGCAGGTCACCACCAAATGGTAGGTTGAGAGTTCAAATCAGATGTTAAAATTGGGCTTCTGCTAAATCCGATTTGAATGTTTAAACATTGTTCTGATTATCTCATAAAATGGACGTTTTATTATTATTTGGATCTTTTATCCGACGGTAAACATTGTTGTTTTGTCTTGATTTTAAATATACATTCGGCGGTCTTTTCCCTTGTACTTATTTTCTTGATGGAGACCTCTGGGCATTTAAGACATATGGATAAGTTTTAGAAGCTAATGGCAAATGTTTCAGAAAAAAATAAAAACAAGCAAAAATAAAGTTTTATTTTTCGTTTTGTAAATTAAGTCAGTAATCAGTTTAGACAGATAAAATCCACTACAGTTGACTGCAAACTTAGTCAATGCAAGTCTCCCTCTCTTTCTCTCTCTCTCTCTCTCTCTCTCTCTCTCTCTCTCTATCTATCTATCTATCTATATATATATTTAAAACTGACTATGTGTGTGTGTGTATGTGTGTGTGCGTGTGTTCGCGAACTACTCGAGAACCATAAGGCATATTTCCACCAAATTTGGAACATAGATCGTACTCAATACTGGGTGTGTCTGGGAAAAAAAAAATAGTCATTTTTCAAAAATCAATAACCGATAATCGATAAATATAATGTTTAAATGAGAATTTCCATTAGTTTGGTTGTTTTTAAACTTTCAGACTTGAAGTCTAAACCCTGAGGCCAATTTTAATGAAACTTGATAAGTGTATGCAACTTACTGTCACGCTTATTATACGCTATATTGATTTTCGTTTCTCTCGACACTGGGACCCCCAGGGGGCCTCAAAAAGACCCCCAAAAATTCAAATTGCTTCGATTATGATGAAATTTTGCATGTTTGTTACGCTCTTACAATGAGATAGAAATCGGTTGTCAGATTCTTAAAAATGCATGAGGCCCCCAGGATGACCCTATAAACCCCTTGATGCCTCAATTGCTTTTCAAGTGTATTTTGTAGCAGTATTCTCCAATTTCAACGAAAATTTCAGTACATATTGAGATTATATCGAGTTACTGAATAGTCACTTGGAATTCAGAGAAAATCAACACTGGGACCCCCACGAGTGAGGGGACCAGCAGGGAACAGCCTTGGCCATGAAATCGACGAAATAGAAAACTTAAACCTGTCCTTTGGATGAAATTTGGGACCCCTAGGGTGAACCAAAGGGACCCCCAAAATTTCAAATTGCTTCGATTTCGACGGAATTTTACATGTATGTTACAATATTAAAATGAATCAAAAACGTTTATCAGATTCTGAAAACTACATAAGGGGCCCCCAAGATGACCCATGAACACCTTGCTGCCCCATTAGTCTTTCAATAGTAGTGGTTAGCGGCATTCCGATGAAAATTTGCACCTAATTTGTGTTTCGATCAATCAATTCAAAATCAAAACTGACACCCCATGTGTCATAAATACATTATGAAAAATATCAGTTTTTCCCATGGATTTCCCGTTTTGGTACTGAAATAGTTTAGTTTGCATTAACTTGACGGCAAAAATTATATCCTTCCTTAAGAAAAAAAGAATAAGTGCAAACGAAAGTGTGCACCGATGAGATAAGTGCACGTATGTATAAGACGCGTGTGCGAGATTGATCAAGATGTGTAGTGTGTACAATTGATTTTGCTCCACGTGCAATGATCGATCGAGTTATGTAGTGCGTACTATCGATTTTGCTTCACGTGTAGTGTTCATTAGTGCTATGTGATGAAATAAATTCAGAAAATCCCATTCGCATCAAGGGTGTCATCCAGTAAAAAGGTAGGCTGCCTTCATGCATGTATATTTTGAATTTTTCATACTTTAAATTTAAAATTGTGAAAATCATATTATTAAAAAGATTTTAAGCGTAAATGCCAATTTTTAATTATGTATTTATCATCTTCTAATCAGCGTTTAAATAATGCTTACTAACTCATATATTTGGAAACTTGAGCCCTAAAATTTTGACAATTTTATTCTGAAAAATGCACTTATAATAATGTAAAGACCCTCTTTCGATTCATTTGTAATTATGCTAAACTTAGCGTGTACGTTTTAACGTTCATAGTGAGTGGGTTTCTAGCTACACGTTAATTTTTATTTTTATCACTAGAACGTTTTTTGATAGTCTATTTTTAGATAAATCCTAAAATTACGAGCTTGCTTAAAATTGTTTAGCACGTTCCCGTGGTCTCCCTTATAAACTTGCATTTAATTTATTGTGGTTATATTTCCATTAAAGTGTATA